ATATATATATATATATATATATAAAATTCCATTACATTTGTCCGGCGACTATCCGGCGCGTCCATCTCTCTCTCGGTTTGTCTGACAAACATTATTTATTCCAGACAAATAAGAACTATATACGCACGTGCTTTTCGACGTACGGACACGTCCACGCTTGCCGTTTCGTTTACCGAAATCAAGGGTTCAATAACTGTGCGTTCGTCACGTTTACCAAAGCGGCAGATGCAGCGACGTAAGTTTCAATTTTATAGGAGGCTACGGCTATATATACGCTACTCGAATTACTGACCGCAACGAGATACGGTTGTTGGTAAGCCCAATTGTTTGTCGCAGAGCGATGCGAGACGGGAGTATAACGTTGCACGACAGACATTTAACGGTGAGGCCCGCATATTCTTGGTATCAACCTGACAGTACGGAGCAGACGTTCATGTACGCGATGGTGGGAAATGATGGGGACTCGACCGAAACTGGCGAAACACAGCTCAGCACAGAACAATACGTTCACAACGATCGTCTGCCGAACGACACCGAAAATGTATCGATCCATATGCTGAACGACCATTGCTTGAAACATATCTTCCAGTTTTTGCCAATCGTAGATAGAGTCCGCATAGAGATAGACGAGTATATATAGATGTTATTCATGGGGCGCGTGGTGCGTCCAACATTTTCTACATATCGCGACCTTGTTGACATTATCCCCCTGCTATATTAATTTACAGTTTGCAAGCGCTGGAGACGCGTAGTCAAAAATTCGTGGCATACCACCAAGACGTTGGATCTTTCGCCATCTACGTGGGGTATCGCGTACACCCATACCATCCCTACGGTCGTACTTCGCAAAATATTGCTCAAATGTGGCAAATTCTTAACGCGAATAAATCTAAACGACCCAAATAATTCTCTGAGCGAAGACACGTTGACCGTTATCGGGCAACTTTGTCCTAATCTAAGGAATATCGACGTTACCGCGCTTACAGTTTCCGCGTCAGAGATACGCGCGTTAGGAAAACGTTGCAGAAACATTACCGAGCTTCGTTTAGGAACACTTACGTCCAAATGCGACAGCGAGTTGAAGCGTTTGTTCGCGCTGAATGAAAATTTTCGATATCTTGCGATAACGGGAAATTTCATTTCGGGCAAATGCTTATTGTTCTTACCAGCGCAAACTATGCGTACAATTATATTGGACCGTTGCTACTGTCTTGGGGACGCTCACCTTTCAACGGTAAATATAGATTGTTGTTCACTTTTCACTTTTAACTTTTCGATCGGTGATACACATCCGTGATATTGTCACGTCTGTTACAGGCACTGAAGAATCTCGAAAATTTGAAACATCTAGCGATAAGCAAATGTGCCCGTATAGCTGAAGGCACGTTTCAAGTTGTCGGTCAGCATTGCAAAACTCTGACAACATTGGAGCTCAACGGAAACTTTCCTTTAGCACAAACGACGGATATGTCGCATTTAAATCACCTTGTCGATCTGCAAGTTTTAAAAATCACGCACAATCCTAAGGTATCGGACCATTTCCTCATCGGTTTGGTACAACATTGTCAGCAGCTTACCAACGTAGACATTACGGGTAAATTACAATTGCGCGTGTGTGTGTCTGTTTGCGTATATATATATATATATATATATATATATATATATATATATATGTATATTTGCCACTTTTTTTATCCTATTTGAAAATTATTCTTTTATATCCAACAGGTTGCCACTACGTGACCAATGTCGGATTAACGGCTCTCGCCTCGTTGGCAAGACTCGATAAATTAGTCGTCAGTTATACGCGTCTACTTACCGACGACGGCTTGGAAAACGTGCGTGGCCTAAAAGAATTTGAGTGCCGAAGATGTCTATTTAGCGATCGGGCCGTGACAACGCTCATCCGATCCTCGCCTGAATTACGATTGTTGGATTTCTTTGGATGTAAGAATATCACGGACTCCACTCTTGAGGTTGCCAAAGACGTTTGTAGCGGTCGAACCAACAACGTGACGTTGAACATGATCTGTGGAGGAACGGGCGGAATTCTCGCCAAGAAAAAAATAGGTCGAGAGAAAGTGCCTACGCTGTTAAATTTATATTCAAACAGTCTATATGCCAAGTAAAATTGCGTATCGATTTTACGGGGCATCAACGCCGCCGGCCGGCATGCCCGCCGAGAGACACACATTTCGACCTCTCTTTTACGCGCCGCATAAAGCCGGCGCGGGAGTACTTTTCGCGGCCGTCTCCGCGCGCGCGCCCCGGCGTCAGACTGTCGGCCGTTTTACCTGGGCCTCGGCCGAACGTGTGATCGTGGATTCTTTTCTTTTGTTTTTTTTTGTTGCCACAACGGTCGCGGATGACGTACAAGTTAAATTG